GCTAGATATAGCATAAGAGCACCTATTGTTTTAATACTGTTGTGAGCTTTAGAGTAAAATACTAACATACAGACTTTGACATTTAAAAATATACAACTTTTGAAAGCAGCACAAAATTCTGAAATCTTATGGTTTCTGGCGGCTGGTGAAAAAGTTGTAGCTCTATATTCATCCTTTAAATATTACATATATATATATATATATATATATATATATATATATATAGCAGGGGCCCGGGGCATGCTCCCCCTTGAAAATGTGGAAATCTAGACCTCCTGAAACGCAATTTGATTTTCCTGCATTTTGAGGGGCGCATTTTGCTGACACAAAGGATTTTATCACGAACACGACTGTGGTTTCATTCAACATTTGTTTGCCCCCCCCCCTGTGCCGCCGCCACTGATGATGGTAAAAAAAAGTTTAAATGAACCCATATCATGCATGTTATATGTACTTTTACAATGACAGATAATGGTTAAAATAAAACCAAGCTTACATTAACAAGCTTTTTTTTTTATTGTCTTATGATTTTAAATACAGTGACGAACCGGAAGTATTATTTGTGTTATTTGAGTCTGCGAAGTACCTAACAATTATCCGACGTGCATAGTAAGGGTAAAACGGCAAACCATCTGTTTGTTTCTGGAAAGTGAACTGATTCACGCTACACGAGAGTTATTGAATATAATTCTGCTGCAAATTGTGATACCTACGATATTTTTACCCTCAAATGTCAAATCTGTCAACGTAAAAAAATACACACGAGATGACGGTCCGACACCAAATCAACTTTGTTGTTGAAAAGTTTGACAGACTATATCTTTAGACGGACCTGTTAGGTCCATATATATTTTGAGACCTGACTTATATCTGTTAAATTATTATGTTGTAATATAACAGCATTGTCGTTATATATTAAAATCATAAGAGAAGAATGACAAAAAATGACCTCGTGTCTTATCATTGCCGCATCGTCGACTGGCACATAAATGCCGGCTATATTTCTCAATACCGCGAGGCAGAAAAAAAAGTGCTGGGCGCATGTCAATAACACCAGGCTTTATAGGTCAAGTTGTAGGAAATGTCCAATGTTCCAGTAACCTATTTAGAAATGTCAAATCTTTTGTAGCTCACTGTGTGGCAATCGTTCATGATTCAGAAATTAATTAAAACGATCACTCCCATTGTGGGTATTATTACTGTGTTCCTAAATCAATCTACCAAATTTGTCATATTGCAGAGAAGTTTGGGCCATACATATGAAACAACCCTTAAGCCACTATTTATTCTACAAAAATGAGTTGTGAGGCTAATTAATTAGTCAAACTTTTATGATCATTCCAAACCACTTTTTAAAAACAGGTATATTAAATATATTTGATCGTTGTAAATTACAAACAGGAATGTAATTTTTTTATCTGAAAACTAATAATCATGCGAGATGTGTGCTAGATTATTTTGACCTAATCCAGCACTCGCACAGTACAAGATCTGTAGAAAACATAAACTTTTTTGTAGAAAGGAAACGTTTAACTCAAAGTCAACACAGTGTAATTTATAGTAGTACCTTATTCTGGAACTCATTGCCAGTGTCATTAAAAAATATTACCTCTCGATACACATTTAAACAAGGTCTTAAAAAGTATCTCTTAATAAATAACCCAGTATTGACTTATGTAATAATTGTCACTCTCATGACTTTTATGACATATTTTTGATCAGTTTTAAGTATTCCTATAAACATTATATTTGAATATTTGTAAGAATATTTCTGATAATTTGACTAGTTTATGATTAGGGTAGGAACATGATGTTTCATTAGCTCTTTTTGAACTATTTATCGCGTTCCACACCATAATTACAACGTATTATGTATTTAGCAAGTACCCTGTTGTATTTACTTTATGGTGAAATAAAATAAAATACAATATCAATACAACAACAAATGAAAACCACTAATACGCATGCGCAGTTATTGTTATTGTACGTACGACGATCGGCTGTGGTGCGTATTGATCAATAGAACGAATACTTAGATGTGTACTGCAAGAACGACGATAAATCACAATCCAATGTACTCAGTTGAGGGATCAAAACGAGGATAAATAATTTCATTGATATATACTTGTGCATTAAATGATAAAACTGTTTGCAAACACGGGGGTTAAACAATAATGTAACACAAGTCCCGATCTCTTCAGTTTATACATGGATGATTTGTCCAAATTAAATATAGTTCTCACACCTTATAAAAAAGTAAAGTTAACTATATGTAGATGTTATCGTTTACGAAGATAATCGTGTATTAAAACATTTATCTCACTACTAAAATTGCGCGAAAAAAGCTGAATAATAATTTAAATTGTACAAAATTATTACTACATAACTAATTAATATAAACCCAACACAGACAATTTGACGAATATAATCACAGACAAAGAAATCAGTATTGTATATATTATATTGGGAAAAATAAAAGCACTCAAAGACAAACACTCAAAAACACTCAAACAGCCCTATATTAAATATGGAGAATAAAATGAGAACATACTAGAAATTCAAACAAAATTTTGGCAAGGAAAAATACTAACAGCGCAAACAAATGTAACACTAATAAAATATAAAAATTATCAATACATGTAATATATACATTTAATATTATTCACCACAGAACTGTATGCATCCCTTGGCGTTCCACGCACCTTCCTTTTCATTTTTCTGCATCTTTATGCGCAAGGGGCGCCGGGAATCAGAGGATCTGTAACCTTTGACCCGTACGTGGAGATGAACTCAAAAAGGTTAACTAAAGATGGCGTCCTCGTTGCCAAGCTTTTGATTGCGTTTGTTTCTGAGTCATCACGGCATATTTTCTCCTGCTCTGACTGGGGAATCCTCAATGTGACACTATCCAGTCAAGGTAAATAACTGCACACCACTGTAATGTAAATTTGAGCTATTCAGGAATATCGATTTGTGTTTTAACTAACCTAACGATTTATTTTTTTGATTGTCGATCATCAACCTGTGTGAGTTCTGCTGCATGTACAACTTCATGTTATCGTCCTTCAATGTTGCATGTTCTAGAATCTCTCCATCGAGGCATATTTTATAGACCCATTACGTACCATTTATCATATTTTTTACCGTTTCTATTGCAATGTGTCGCTACTTGCTATATCTTGGCGTTGAAGAGAAATACCGAATTTGTAAATACTAAATTAATAATGTACACACTGTTAATTATCTATTTGGCGAATGATCAGAGGAAGGAAGCCAACCTACAGGACTGTACTCAGGGCTAGCTAGTGGTATGCAAATGAGCTGTCTGTTGTGATTACTATCATACAGTCTGGCGGTGATCAGCGGAGGGAGGCCAACCTACAGGACTGTACTCAGGGCTAGCTAGTGGTATGCAAATGAGCTGTCTGTTGTGATTACTATCATACAGTCTGGCGGTAATGATCAACACGGCGCTGTATAATGGCTGTAGTTGTATGCATTGGAGTAAATCATAAAAAAAAATAGCAGTCCTAATTAAAAATTGGTAGTAAAAATTAGATTAAATGGAAGAACCCTACATTGAAATTTAAATGACAGAAACGAAATAGGACGTCTCAGAGCTAACACATAAAATTGGCAGACAATCCCTATACAATCCTTTCTTGCCAGGGACTTAACATACTAGTATGTACAAGTATATGACATCTTTGTCTGAGAACAGCAAGACAGACCATGTAATTGGACATCAATTTTAAATCTAGTGTTTTTGCCAATGAAAAGCAAGGAGCTATTAAACCATGTTCTCATCACTCACTATGTAATGTTGTACAACTATTCTATGTATTGTCCCTGTTATGTGCTGGTCAATATTACCGTAAACATGACTTCTCCCTACATTTTGGCATATGGGGGCAATTTAGGGGGTTAAATCTAATTTGAAAATTGTATTCCATTTCTTTTTTTCATTATTTTGCAATTCTAACATTTGATTCAATTTTTGTTATTTCATTTGTTATGCAATTTCACATTTGATTTCTAATATATGAAGCTCATATTTATTTATTCAAATAGTGAGCCTCTGATTCAAAACATTGCAGCAAATAAATACTTTTGGGATACGCAAAGCAGCCAGAGATGAGCTTAAGATAATTAGGTTTATGACATTGATCCACTATAATAGCAGTTCAGGCTAGGTCAGTGACTAGGTTTTCCTGGGAGGAGGTGGCACTCAGCTCAAACCATGGAATATCATTGTTATGAATTTGTTCATAACCCTTTCAAGACCAGACTCACTTTTTAAACCACTTTGTATTCAGGATAATCAAATCATTTCATACACATTATATGGGTGTCATGTACTAATATTTACATTCCATTTAGTGAAGTCATTGCAATTATCAGACTGATAGAAGACATTGATTTTTTTATGTCCTGTTTCTGAAAATAGTTTATGTTAAGTTTCCCAAACACATAACTTAATTTTAGTTGAAGTGAAACTCTTAAGGTATTTTCTTTAAACACACATACATGTACTGTCCTTTGGGTTGAGTACTCCAGGGAATCACACTTAAAAGTCACTGAGGGTGGGGGATGTGGTAGAAGATAAATATTAAGTAATATTAAGGGGGTTGAAATGATATGAAGGCTTGCAAAGTATGAATTGATACGACAATCCAAGGATGAATTCAGCAATTACACTTTTATAAAAAAAATGCATTAAATCCAGGGAGGTATCTTATTTCATTCCATGAAACATTCCATGCATCAATAAATGGTAATTAGAACAGTCTGCTGCAGGTACTTGAATGTTTGTAACTGTTATTTAAATTTATAAATGTTCAGATTTATACAGAATATACAACGTACAGGCTTTGCTGACTTCAGTGTATTTACCACCTTTGATACTGCTCATTCAGGAAACTGATGACTGATAAGTGAATATCATGTCACTTGAAGTGCATATTTAATACTTACTTATTTATTTATTTATTTTTAGCATCATGGGTTCAGGTAGTACAAAAGGTGCCAAGACGACGTCAACCAATGAAGTTGTAGCAGATGTGATACTACCCGGTGCAACAGAGGCTTTTACGGTGCGGGGAAAAGTTGGCCGTCCTAAGCCCACACCGGAACATACTGACGACGCTGAAAGAGATTCAGTGACAAACACCCGACTCTTCACTGGAAGTGACAATCGCCCTGTGCCAGATGAAACTGAAACATCTAAAACAATTGGTAACAAACAGTATCACCAGCCGACTGGCAAAATCTCTGGTTCTCATCGTGAAGAAGTGCGGCCTAAGTCTGCTGCAGCTAAGAAGAGTAGCACCGCTACAGTGACAGAAGTGGCAAAGGATACTTACACTATTGAATATGAAAATCAGGTGAGTTTATCATCATACAATATATATATATATATCAACCCACAACATTAGAGCAGAATTAACAAAATATACTGATATATTCGAAATTCTAATTCTATCAACCCTTCAAATTTTTTATGTAATTATCCATAAAATTAATCGACCAAATTTTGGTTGGCAAGATACAATCACCACCAACACTATAGTTTTGTTTAGGTAGATGTTTTATCTATTCAATCTAATTAGAATTTCTTTATACAATTATATATACATTGCATATAACTGAATGTACTTGTATGTATATTAAAATATTGCATGCATCTTTGTTTTTCAGCGGTTTGATGTATCGGGTAGTGAATTTTCCACATTTCTGCAAGATGCAGCTGAAATGACGGTCACAGATACATTAAAAGTTTCTGATCCATTCCAAGCTGGTGGGTCTGGAAAAACCTTTCAATTTAAAGTGTTGAAACCACAATCTGGCGAAGGACCAATGAGACTGCAGGTTAGTATGTCGGTGACCATTCTGACATCACATGGAGTTTCAGTCCTGCTTATTTGTGAAATTTGTTCTTTAGCGCCAATTATGATGTATTCTAAGTTTTCTTGAGGTCAGCCACTTTGATATGTGATGCATTTTGATGGATTTTTACATAATATTATACATAATGTATACCGATCTGATTCAAGATGGCCGAATGGTGGCCATTTTTGTGCTAAATATTCATCAAAATCAAAAATTTATGGATGGATTTTGTTCAAACTTGGTTAATACGTTGGACATTATGGACATTGGACCTTGATGCACAATTTATTTTTCAGATCGACTGGTGGCCATTTTGTTTTAATGAATGCAGTTCTAGTGCCATATCTCTGCCATGCTTTGACTGATTATGTTCAGATTTTATATATTCATTATACATCATGACATAGATATACAGATATATTGGTTTGACTATCTGATTCAAAATGGCCAAATGTGCTAAAAAATCATCAAAAATCAAGCATTTTTGGCATTCCAGAACTGGATCTTTGTGTTTATGGATGGATTCTGTTCAAACTTGGTACATATAAATTAGAGATTATGGGTGCCTGATGTACGTCATTTTATTTTTTAGATTGGTTTCAAAATGGCTGACTGACATTTGTTTAAATGAATGTGCTTCTAGAGTCATATCTCTGATATACTATGACTGATTATGTTCAAATTTGATATATTCGTTTTACATCATGTTATAGATATACCGTATTTATCAGGGTAACATTCCATGGCCGGGCAACACCCCCCCACTTTTGTTACAATAAGGAAAATGAGGTCATGGACTGGCATACGCTTAACTACACTTGTAATAAAAAAATAACAAAAACCTATTATTTTTTCGTTGTATTAAGAGATGACTTAGAAACGATTCAAGCAGATCTTACAGTATGTGGAGAGCCTTGAAGCAAGTGTCGCACTTGTTCAACTTTAGCGCCCTCGACAATGAAACCAATGTTGCAATACCTGGGAGAGTGGTTGAACCCACGTTGTTTTGGCTTTATAAAATATTTGGTAGCAGCTTGCGAATCCATAACTGGGGCCAGCAATTTTGCAATATCATGCTGAAGACTGCCAACTTTTTTACCACCTTTCATGACAGGTATTGCATTTCTGTCATGAAAATTATTCTTCTGTTGTTGGACAAATAAAAATTCTTCCAATTTCAAGCCCACCGCGATATCCGGAACTTGCTGAATGATAACTTTTACCATGATTGATGGGCGTCTCTGCTGATAAGAAAGCAATGTTGACTTGACCTCTATGATAAAATGCTAGTAGTGATGTCATTATTAGCCAAAAGCATCGTGTGCCATTGCAGCAGAGTCGTTTGCCGCAACCCAATTTTTTTTGTTTCTTTATTGTGATTAGACATGAATGAATTAAAAGTGCCAAGCTGACGGACAACAGAATCCGTGGAGTAAAAGTGTGAAGTCCAAATTGTGTTCAACGGCATTGACAAACTTTATGACAAAGCTGTAGGGTTTATATTCGATGACGACAGGACTTTGAGGGTTTTGACTTTGACGAAGATGGCGATTAATGTACAAATAGAGATCTGGGAAATTTTATTTTATGAACTTTCGTAATTTTTACTGTGTAAATTTGTAAATTATTTTTGTTCTTGTATGACTGTTCATCCAGTATTTGTCAAAACCGGAAAAAGGTTTACGCAGTTTAACCCCTTACATTTTAGTTCATTTTAAGTTCACGCGTATTGAACGTGTTTGTCGACGGGGAAATCCTAAATTCGAATGCTTCTTCCCTGTCGATTTTTATTATTTCTAATTTATTTGTCACATTATAAGCAATAAATTATTTTTTTTATTTCTAATGTTGCATATTGTTCATTTATTTCTGTTGCATGTTTTCATTCGCCATTCTATCCCCTGTCGCAGTTTGATCTGTGTGTTGTCAATGTTCTCAAATTTTTTTTTTTTTTTTGCAGGGGATGTTCGGGCATAGGCCCACCCCTTTTTTTTTTGCAATTTTCCTTGTTCAGGACCCTGGGCACTTACCCGGATAAATACGGTAGATGTATTCAAAATAGCCGACTGGTGGCCATTTTGTTTTAATTAATGCTGTTCCAGAGCAATATTTCTTAATATGGACAAGTACTCGTTTGATGATCAGATACAAGATGTCAATCATTTTAATGTTAAAAAATCATATTCCTGACATGTTTATATTCCAGCTATATTACTATAAACAAAACTATATATCTTAAATTTGATAACTAACAGGGACTGTGTAAAGCGTGGCTTGTTACATGTAAGTTTAGAATACCTTGTAGAAGACAATGTCACCAACTTTCTGCATTTGATGTGTTTATGATGTTTTGTGAACAACATTTTTCAAACGTGTTTCTTGCAACAATCTAATATTCTTACGAACCTTGCCAGTGTTGTATCGACTTTGGTACCTTCAATAGTGAAACACTGTTGTTTATGGACTAATTTCACAGTCAGGTATCTCAATGAAATAGGGCACTCTGAAAGCATTTTCCTGTGTTCATTGTATTTTTTATTCATGGTATATTTTGAAGATGAAAACACAAAATTTCTGAGTGCCAGATTTCTTAGTGGGGACACTGATAGAATTATACATTTACATTGTATACCTATTCTTACTCAAAATTAAAGCAGTTAACATTATACTGTAAAACTGCAAAATGTTCACCACATTAATTTATGCCTATTTGTTTATGAGGATAAAAATATTACAGTTGTTTACAGTAAATTATTGAAGTAGACAAAGTGGTTCATGTTGTGCGTCTGTCATCTTTTGTCATATTATCAATTGACAGCTTCAGAATCGTTACATGGAAGTAGAAGATTTGGAAGAGGATGTGATTGATGAGATACTGGGTGTGCCAGTCACAAGTAACAAAGAAAATGAAAGTCCAGATGAAAAGATTTCTGAGAAAAAAGAGCAAATGAGACAGGTAAGGAACAAAACTTGAATAATTTTTTTGTTCACCATTTGAATTACCCTATTTGTCCTTTCAATAGTACATATTCAATACAGCTACAAGAATCACACAGGAATAACTAATCTTCTGAAAAGTACCCAGGCATCAACCAGGTCAGGCTCTGAAAGTACCCAGGCATCATCCAGGCCAGGCTCTGAAAGTACCCAGGCATCATCCAGGCCAGGCTCTGAAAGTACCCAGGCATCATCCAGGCCAGGCTCTGAAAGTACCCAGGCATCATCCAGGCCAGGCTCTGAAAGTACCCAGGCATCATCCAGGTCAGGCTCTGAATGTACCCAGGCATCAACCAGGCCAGGCTCTGAAAGTACCCAGGCATCAACCAGGTCAGGCTCTGAAAGTACCCAGGCATCATCCAGGCCAGGCTCTGAAAGTACCCAGGCATCAACCAGGTCAGGCTCTGAAAGTACCCAGGCATCATCCAGGCCAGGCTCTGAAAGTACCCAGGCATCAACCAGGCCAGGCTCTGAAAGTACCCAGGCATCAACTAGGCCAGGCTCTGAAAGTACCCAGGCATCAACTAGACCAGGCTCTGAAAGTACCCAGGCCTCAACTAGGCCAGGCTCTGAAAGTACCCAGGCATCAACCAGGCCAGGCTCTGAAAGTACCCAGGCATCAACTAGGCCAGGCTCTGAAAGTACCCAGGCATCAACTAGACCAGGCTCTGAAAGTACCCAGGCCTCAACTAGGCCAGGCTCTGAAAGTACCCAGGCATCAACCAGGCCAGGCTCTGAAAGTACCCAGCCATCAACCAGGCCAGGTTCTGAAAGTACTTAGGCATCAACCAGGCTAGATTCTGAAAGTACCCAGGCATCAACCAGGCCATGCTCTGAAAGTACTCGGACATCAACCAAGCCAGGCTCTGAATGTACCCAGGCATCAACCAGGCCAGGCTCTGAAAGTACCCAGACATCAACCAGGCCAGGCTCTGAAAGTACCCAGACATCAACCAGGCCAGGCTCTGAAAGTAACCAGACATCAACCAGGCTAGGCTCTGAAAGTACCCAGGCATCAACCAGGCCAGGTTCTGAAAGTACCCATGCATCAACCAGACCTGGCTCTGAAAGTACCCAGGCATCAACCAGGCCAGGCTCTGAAAGTACTCAGCCATCAACCAGGCCAGGCTCTGAAAGTACCCAGACATCAACCAGGCCAGGCTCTGAAAGTACCCAGACATCAACCAGGCCAGGCTCTGAAAGTAACCAGGCATCAACCAGGCCAGGCTCTGAAAGTACTCAGCCATCAACCAGGCCAGGCTCTGAAAGTACCCAGACAACAACCAGGCCAGGCTCTGAAAGTACCCAGACATCAACCAGGCCAGGCTCTGAAAGTACCCAGACATCAACCAGGCCAGGCTCTGAAAGTACCCAGGCATCAACCAGACCAGGCTCATGCATGATTGTGTGAGGAAAATATTTGACACCAGTTAAATTGAATGATCTGATTGGGCGTGCCAAGGAACTGGATGCTGGATCCATGACAACTCAAATCAAACCATTCAATTTAAACCAATAGATTATGTTGTCTAATTTCACACCATAGCTTAACTGATACTAGTGATAGAAACATGTAACTTTACATTCAATTTGCCATGGTGACGCATCACAACACATGACTTCATGTTCCATTTATCATGGGAATACATTACAGTGTATGCCGTTGACACTGAATACAGGTTTATAGTGCCAACTTAAGATGATTGAAGCGATGGTTGAATTAATAAAACTTGGCTATCAAAGATGGTTAATTCTGTATGATATTATTATTATTATTGTTACCTTCTAAAGTTTATGAAATATTGGTAAAATATTATTTTATTCCATTCACACACAATTAAGTTGGTAAATGAGATATTACTGGCATCATAGGTAAGTAATGGCATGGTGTATAGCCAGTGAAATGTCTCAAAGATGTTTAGAAAGCCACTCATATAACACAAGGAAAAAAAATTAATGATGACTTTAGTATTCTAAAGGTAGACCATAGTATAAGCCAATTATAATGATTTACTGGTGCCAAATTATGGAATTATTCTAATATTTCCCTAATTAAAGTTAAAATGTATATTTCTGCTAAAATTTATATAGAATAAAAGATATAGAGTAGCTCTGCATGCACACTTTATTTGCACATATGAGCAGAATCTAGCCATTTTGTCTTGGAAAATACTCTTTAAGTTAAGGGGTACTTGAAAACAGTCTTCAAGTTAAGGAGTTATATATGTACTCGTCTAGTTGGTGCATGATGGTTTTTTGTTTCTTTACAATTAAAATATTAATGTATTGTTTTTAATTATTTTCTTTTTTTTTTTTATTATCATTTGTATGGATTATGGAAATAAAAAAAAATCGTAAGTTACTAAAAAAAATATTTGTTGGGTTCTATTCCAAGCGCATCAACATCAACACTAAAATGTGGCAGTCAATGAGTAACCATAGTAACGCTTTGAACACCAACGTCAATTTTCGTCATCTCTCACAAAATAAAACTGCTTTATTTTTTGAAGAATTTGGATGAATTTCGAATTATGTCATTTTGTCCAAAATTATAGAAAAATGTCCCAAATATTGCAGCAAAATTTTGGTATGCAAATTCATGCAATTTGCAATTTAGTGTATCACATGATCACAAGGAGCATAAATGCATGATCCTGCAATTTTTTTTTTTTTTGGAAATTGGATTTTATTTACCTTGTAAACATTTTTTTTATGTTAAAGGCTTTACAAATGAAAAAGACACAACTCACAAAAGAACAGTATGAACAGATGATAGCCAATCACAAACAAGAAACGGAGTTAATGGAATTAATCAGGTAAAAAAAAGTTAGCGATTTAATTCCTGTTATACAACATGATATATTGAGACTGATTAGTGTTGTAATTAATATAGACACTGGTGTCCCATGATTCCATGGTGCAATCTAAGGGATTGAAATCTTCTACTTTAGCTGAAATATGTAATTGCTAATCCACTGATCTAATCTAAGCTAATCTACTGTAAATCCTCTAATTAATCCTCTATCTGCAACTATAGGAAGAAGGAGAAAAACAGACAACAGATAGCGTTGGAAGAAAAGATGAACCAACGGAGAATACGTAAAAAAAGAAAAGAGGCTGAGAAAAGGGAACAGGATTTGCTGCTTGCAGGACAGGTAAATAACCTTTTTCTGAAATGATGAACAGCTCCCTCTATGGTGGTTTCTTTTAATAATATTGTTTACATATCTCCACCCACCTGTATGATTGATCTGTTTTAATAACATCAGTTCTAACATGTGCAATATTTGGATTATAAATTTAGGTATTCTGGTGTTTTATTTATTATTTCTTTCTCAACTCTCATAATAATGGTTGTTATTATATTTCCAAAATATTCATGAAATTAATTGTAGCTTCTTTGGTTGCTAGGTTACAGAGTTCAAACAAAGAGTTAGTAGACTCCCAGTTATTTGCAGTTTTAGGCAGGGATTTCACTATAACAACTAACTTCTGTTTTGTACCGAACATGTTAATGTCATATTATAGACATACAAGTTGCCTTCTAATGTTTACAAAATGTTGAAATCTGAAAACAAATTATACTCATACTGGACAACATAAAGTTTGTGATATTTTGTTATAATACATGAATGTACATTGCAAGACAACTCTGTGGCACAAAAACCAAAGATATCTATTAAATTTGTAAAAAAACTGATAATGTATTAGAATCACATCTTCAATAGACATATAAACCAAATATCACACTTTTGTAAAATGAATAATTGAAATACTTAGAAACAAATCTAATTTATATAAGCATATACATTACTAATAAAGAAAAAATGCGATATCTGGTCTTATGACTAATTGGTAATGAAAATTTACCCCTCTCTGTACAACATTTTGTTAATTTTAATGTATTTTTAATCATTTTGAATTTCATTTATAATTTTTAATATAATAGCCATAATTTCTCACAATCCCACAGTCAAGTCAGATGTGTTTTATGAAATGACAAAAGTTGACTTTAATGTTTAAAGGGTTAAAGGTCACTGGCTTGCACTCAATATAAACTAACATACCAACCATGAACTTGAATTTCTTTAATTACTAGTAGTAGTTGTTTTTTTCACTTTATGTAATATGTACACTTCTATCCTGCTATAATTTTCTTTAAAAGGCTTCTCAGTATCAGAGTACCAAAGGTAAATCCTCACAGGTCAGTATATTGTCAACATTGTATTGTAAACTGTTTTAATTTTGCGAGAGATGATTTTGCGAGTCAGCGAAAATCAAGAAATTTTACTCTGTTCTCAAAACAACACAAAGTCACAGTGACTTTTGTACAATTTTTTCCTCAAAAATGTTATTAAATCATTAAATTGTAAAAATTAATCAGTTTACAGTATAGTACAGTATTAGTTTGTCAGTATTCTTGCTAAGTGGCTCTTCAATCAAAGACATATCACCAATGGTACATGCCTTTCATACTGAAAAACTCATTCTAACATTGTGCAACTTAAAATTGAATTTTTTGTAACTAATCATATTAACACTATATTGTACATCATTACATATAACATCTGTACTACTATACGTGCAGTAGTACATTATTTAGTATTTAATTTACATTATTAAAAATAACATGGTGTACCCATGTTTGGGTTACACTGGTACGCTTCATTACTGACAATAACTTCCATATTTGTCAGGATAAGTTTATGGGGGCTTTTATTTTACTTCACAGCAAATATAAGAAAAAAGTCTTTGTAATATCTTCTTAATATTCGATCACAAAAACAACAATTCACTACGTTCAATTACCCACCATAGACTCCAGTCAGTCAAAATGACTATTTTGAACTGTAGGCATTAATCCGCGATTCTGCCGGTGACAGAGAGATAGAATCTAGGTCAGGGGAAGCCCCATGACCCCAAGATTCTCTTTCTCTTACGTCACAAACCACGTGACCGAGCCCATATGGCGGTGTCATCAGGGCTGGATATCCACTCTTTCTTTATCTCCGCATCGACGGGGATGAAGTTTTAGTGGCTCGGCTGGATCGCTTGCTTTTTTTCCTGTCCGGGTTTCTAGCTTGGGTTGTTGCCGCTGCACGGCATTTGACATTGTAGCTGGTAGGATAAGTTTTCCTTGTCATTTTTACCCTCGTGTCGTTTTCCCCTTTGTGTGTAGTAATTTTACAAAAAAGAAATTAAAACCCGGTGCCACTACGTAACCACTTGTTAATTTCGCAGCGGCACCTTTTACAACTGTATTTCGTTTTTCCCTCATGCATGTCGTCTTTTATTTACAATGTATTTAGCAATGTATAGATGTAATGACAGCACCAGGGCTCGCTGCCATTTTTTTTTTGGTCTCCTCGTGTTTCGAGTCGACTGTGCAGTGGTTATATACAGAATTTACCAGCATAGAACCCGCATCCGAGATACTTTGTCGTAGCTGCATGCAGGGTTTTTGCCATGAAGGTGTGTGTTTTTCACTGGAGTTCTAAGGCCTGGGATTTTTATTTCCGAGCCATCAAAATCGCTGAGACTGACCGCGTCGCTCGTTTCTTCACAGCAAGGTCGCGCGACCAGTAAACAAATTGGTTAAAGTGAGTTGCGTATATGGCATGAGTGGAAAGTACTCACACTTGGCTACCGGTGCTTCATGTACCGAGTTGGAGGCCTGATGGTGGAGGTACCAATATTTTTCTTGGTCTCCCCCGCTGATCGGAGGGCATCCTCACAGTCTGTTTTTTCAGGCGGTGGTTTACCGGATTTTACCGGCTGCAGTGAGGCTGTGCCCCTGGATGCTTTCCTCCTATGGGGCCCATTGCGGGTCCCTGTGTGGACCCTTCCTCCCATGGCACCGGGTTTGCCTCCGAGTTGAGGGCTTTGGTTGAAGGACTGTCGAGGCAATTGCGTCCTTGGCAGGCCGGGTAGAACAGACGCAGTCGGAGCAAGCTGTCTCCACTGCGGCCCCTTGGTGGGCAAGCAGGAAGAAACACGAAAACATGTTTGCATTAAAACACGTCTCTTCCAGGGAACCCCCGTTCCCAGCCGCGACTCTCCCATTAATTTTGGGTGAGGCCGAGGCTCAGGCTAATTGCACCAGGCCTTTGGAGCCTCGGGCACTGAATGCCAACGGGGTGCTAGTAGCCAAGCCTCCGATTTTGGGGCAGGGCTTTCAGGGCAGGGCACACGTTGACCCACCCTACTTTCAGCCAGCTACGGTTCGTCACGCGATAACGGTACAGCGGTAACGAATTTATCCGCTGTGGTTTTTGACTTCCTTCTTACCAACCCACGGGCATCCCCAGAGGGAACCGACCCTGTCATGAGACGCACAGTCGAACACGCTCCCTCTCACATATTTAAAGTGAAAGGAGACTCAGTTCGCTTGTGTCGGATACAGCCGGTACTCCGGGCGGCCCCTCAGAATTTTCCATATGTAATGACTCGGTGAGCCACGCTTTTGGGGTGATGCGGAGTATCATCGATCCCAGTGATGCAATGTAAATACCCCCACCCTTGATCCTAAGGTGACCACCTAAGGTTGCTTCAACGCTTATGGAATCACAGGCGCCGGGATTCAAAGCAACCCCGCCGGCGCGTCTCTCCCTGTCCGTTCGAGTGCGGAGTGAGGCGCAGGGCACACAAACGTTGTTGATGGACGGACGTTGGTCAGCCGCAGAGAACGTAACGCTTAAGGCCCCCGGGAGAGGAAAACATTAGGCAACACTTCCCACTGGACCAAACGCTACCTGGTCGATTAGGTTTCGGAATCAGACCCCATAGTGTGGGATGAGACCAAAATGCCCCCAACTGGATCCCAAGACTCCTTCCCCATGAATTTCCATTTGGCAATTTCCAGGCAAAGGGGGACAGCCGCGTTCCATGGGCGTTCTTGCCAGCTCAATTGGAGATGACCCATCCAGCCCTGAGGGCAGAGTTGCTTGAGCGCAATATTGTGCACGCCCAGGACTCTGGAGACCTCGGAGGCAGAACGCACCAGCCTCCTAGATCAGACGACACTTTTACAGGTGGCCCACCACACATCTACGTGCAACATCCCCTAGTGCCACCTGACTTTCTTGGCCGGGGCCACTACTGTGCTACGAGACGCGGCCTCATGTGTTCGGCAAGTGGCCAGGTCACAACTTAGTGACTACTTCAGGCCTTGGGGAACTCACCTCATGGAAGAACAGAGCACCCCCCCCCCCTTCGCAACTGTCGAACCCATGGCCACTTATCCCCGTCATACACAGATTGCGCCGGTGTAGTCCGGTTTGGAGACAGTGGGTGACCGGTCCCTGGATCTTTCCAGGTGGTGACACCCTGTTACGGGATACCGCTGAAATCTCCATCTCCCCCGTCAGTGTCTCCCCTGTTGGGCACTGCCAGGGGACTCCCGTAAGAAGCAATCAGACAGGAAGTAGCAGTTTGCTGGGAAAAGGCGCCATACACAGGGTACATCAGCCGGAACCAAGTCCAGGCTTCTACCCAAAATGTGTTCGTAGTACCAAATCTACAAGTGGCGGGCGTCCAGTTCTGGATCTAGGCAGACCGAATCAGTATGTGCTCCTCGATCGGTTCCACATGGAGACACCATTCAGGGTTCTTCTCTCCATCCACCGTTTCGACTGGCTAGCACCACTAGACTTAAGCTGGGCCTACCTACACATACTGATGCACCCAGCGAGTTGCCATCTCCTTTGAATCGTCCAGCTGGGCCAAGTATTCGAATTTCGGGTGCCCCCCGTTTGGGTTATGCACAGCGCCCTACGTGTTCACCAGCGTGAAACAGGTAGTGCTGCTGCTTCACCAAATGTCGGTACACCTCAATCCGTACCTAGACTACTGGTTACTACACAACCCAGACAAGGGGTTAATAGCCAAACACATCAGGCTAACACAGGATTTACTTCACCAGTTAGGCTCGTTAGTAAATCGACAAGTCCCATCTCGACCCGACGCGCAGTTGGTATCCCTGGGCATGGAGTTTGACACAGAGGTATAGCTATTTCAAGCGTGTTGCTTAGCGCTAAGCAGCCTAGCCGAACGCCTAGTCAGCGTTCCCTCAGTGTCCCTCTGAGAACTAATGTGGATTATCGGAATGATGACCTCCGTTCGAAGGGTGGTTCCCCAGGCACTACGCAGCCGCCCGGTGCAACGCTTGTTGTTACAACGCCAAGCTCTCCTATGGGAACCAGATAGGCGGGTTTTGATCTCGGACCAAGTAAAGGAAGCCCTGCCTTAGTGGTCGTCACTGGCCAACCTCGGACAGGGGGGGCCCCCTTGGACCCGCTCGCTGCAGGTATGACTCTGGTAACAGATGCCTCCCCCCAAAGAATATGGCTCTCGCATTAGTTTCGGGACCACCATATCAACCGGCTCAAACTGAAAGCAGTGTACTTAGCACTACCACACTTTCTACCCGTAATTCGAGACCACAGAGTCCTGCTCCGCACAGACAACGCAGCGGTGGTCTCCTTCAAGAAAGAGGGGGGACGCATTCCCCATCGTTGTCAGTCCTAGCGGAGCAAATCCTTCTTTGGTGCCTGGAATACAATGTGGAGCTAATCGCACACCACCTCACCAGGGGTGAGGAACAGTCTGGCAACGCCCTTTCAGGGCGGCTCCATCTTCAGAACACAGAGTGGCTGATACCCCAGTGGGTAGCCTCCAGGCTGTTTCGGCTGTGGGACGGTCCAAGGTTAGACCGGTTTGCCGCACCCCGAAACACCAAGCTCCTGACGTACGTAACACTCCTGCTGACTCCAGGAGCCTGGGCCAGGGTCAATTTGCTAACCCCGTGAACCCACTAAGTTGTGTATGCCTTTCCTCCCTTTCTGCTAGTTCACCAGGCACTGGAGAAAACTTTGACAGGTGCACACCTGCATATTATTATTGGTCGCACCCAATTAGCCAAACAAGGCCTAGTTTCCACTTCTGTCGGAAATGCTAGTCGAAACACCAGTAGTGCTTCCGGACTTACCGGACCTGCCGTCCCAACCAGACGGCGCACTACCAACGAGCCCAGCAGGTATCTCTTGCACACATGGAGGCTCTCAGTAGACCCGCACATACGAAAGCCTTATCTGAGCGGGCTGCCAACGTCCTAGCCAGGGCGAACAGGGATTCCACCAACGCGGCCTACATTTCTAGGCTGCGAGCATACACTGATTGGTGTAGCGAAAGGGAGATTGATCCATACCATCCCTCTATTGGCCAGGTAGCAAGCTCCTTCGTCTACCTGTTTGACAAAGTGGGTTTGTCCTACGCAGCGATCGTTGGCTACAGGTAGGCCTTGTCCCCCCACCATTGAAAACATACAGGAACAACATTAGCCAATTGTCCTATTATTAGGAGACTATTTACTGCTTTCCAGACAACATACAAGGGAACCGCCCAACTGGGACTTATCGGCTGTGTTGTCTGCTCTAAGCAGACCGCCCTTTAAGCCTCTCCGATCTGCACCACTCAAATTTTTGACGTGGAAAATAGTCTTCCTACTGGCCCTCGCCTCACATAGGTGTCGACCAGAGCTGGGAGCATTGTCCTTCTCGGATGATGTACCGCCGTTATGGACAATCAAGTTGTGCTAAAGACACGATCCTCACCCGATTGTCATCCCCCAGCTGTCAAATTTTGTCTGCCCGGAGGGTTAGGAGGAATTGCTTCTCTGCCCGGTTCGAGCACGGAGTTGCCACGAAACCGTACTAAGGATTCGGGATGGGGTGCCAGGCACATATATTTGTGGCCCAGGCAGGCAGGATAGGCCGGCCTCCCCAACTTCCATAACCAGGTGGTTTACTGTGACTGTATTAGAGGTCTATAACACTTTAACTGCCTTGACACAGAGCTTGCAGAGGTCTGTGTGATTGCTAACTCACTAGTGCTAGCGTCAGCCCCCCCCCCCAGCACACATGGAGGGCAGGTTTCTGGAGAACGCAGAACGTCTTTATCAACTACCACCTAAGAGACACCAAATCCATTGAAAAGGGTCTCTCCAGGTTGGGTCCCGTCGTAGCGGGTCAGTCTTGGTTTGCTGACCCAGCCCGAATGTCTGCAAGGGTCCCTGCGCATAGGCAATAAGTCAGTCTCGGCATTTTATGCGGACAAATTTCTCTACCGTCAGCACTCCCTGGAAGCTCCCAGGTCCAGCTTTGCAGCCTATGCCCTCATGCAAAATTGTTTCGGCCTTTACTTCGAAAGCTTACTACCCCCCAGAATTGGGTTGGGGTCTAGCTTTCTC